GGCAGAAACACTCATCCTGCCTCCCAGCATGCCTGGCTGCTGCCCTGCATCCCAAAGTCCTTGCTTGGCTCCGGAATTCTCCTGGACCACTCTGTCCCGAAGCTCGCCACTGTCCAGCTGCTGGCCTGCATCCAACACTGGACCCCATGCTCAGGCCTTCAGGGGGGCCATGCTGATTGGCCAGCCTCTGCGTGGTTTCCTGGGGAACCTCCAGTTCTCCAGGAAAATGGCTCCTGGCAGAGCATGGAAATTGCCCTATTAGCATTCGGGCTTTTTCTGATGCTAGGTCAGTAGTATTTCAGGACGCACGCTTTTTTCACTATTTCAGAGGTGTGCGGCTATTTCTTTTGCTCTCCTTCACTTTTCCTTGTTGAAACAGAATGCTTTGAACCCCCAACCCCTTTGAACGGGGCTCTGGCATCCAGGGAGAAGGGGTGGTGGGGACTGGGCTGGTAAGAGGCTGGGATGACAATGGCAGGGGGGCTGGAGGCCAGAGAGAGCTGGTTGTGGAAGAAGTGAGAAAGGTCACAGAGACTCCGGTGCAGGTGGGATCTGAAGAAAGGGAGAGACAAGTGAGGGAAACAGGTGAGCTGGCTGGCCCCTCCGGACATCTGCCTGAGGCCAGAACTGCTTGCTCCCTTTTATCCTGCCCTGGGCACCTCTGAGCCTGTGGCTCCGGGAAATCTGAGCTCTGCCAGCAAATGGTTCTCGGGAGAAGGCCAGGTCTGAGGATGGGCTCGGCCCCCAGGGCGGACACCATCTGTGTTTCCCTGCAGGGCCAGGCCCGGATTCCCGCCCCAGGCTTTGCCGTGCTGAGCTGCTGAGCAGGGGAAGAGGTGCCTCCGCACAATATGCCGAGGTTGCCGGCTGCACTGGCTTCACTCTAATTTGTTATTAACTCTTCTCATTTTGGCCTACAATCGCAGTGTTTATGTGGAGACTCTGAAATGCAGAGCATGGAAATGATGTTACTTAATAACTCCGGGATATTGTGTCCTTTAAGGGCTATTTCATTGTTGTTCGTTGTAGAGCCATCATCTTTATTTTTTTTATTTAAGAAAGCATACATTATAATTTTTTTAACTCACAGAAGCACAAAGAAAGGGCCATATTTTTCCTGCCCAGATAATCCCTGATGACAGTACGGAAAGCTGGGAAGGAAGGGACAGAGGGAGGGAAGGGAGGAGGGAGAGAAATTCCATGTATAAAACCAGAAAATTTGCACAATACAGTAAAGTACAAATAGTTTCCTTTTGAGATCGAAATAAACTACCCCCTTAGGTCTCGGGAACCCAGTGGGGCTCACCTGATCAGAATGCAAATGAGGAACACCCTGTGTTTTTGAAACCAGTAAACTTGGCGAAGATCTTCTTTTTCTGGTTAAATGACATTTTCTCCTTTCCCTTTTTCCCCACTTTCTAACTTCTACTTTGGATGCATTACACCTTTTGGAAGCTTGGAACTAAAAATGACTTTCCTATTGATGTCCCATTCCTCTCCCAAGAAATGAGTCTGTCTGTCGCCTTCTGAATTCTCAATCACTCCAGCCAGTGGCTACCTTCTCATTTTCCGCTTTTTTGCCTCTTTTAACGATAAGTGCACACATAGTGGCCTTCTGACCTTGCTATAAAAAAGAAAAAAGAGGGAAATAAACAGTGCTGTGCTACCTGGAAAATAGTAAGGATTAATTAACTGGTGTCCTTCGCTTCTGATGAAGGAAGAAGAAAATGGGAAAATGTCTCTTTTCTCCTATTTTGTTTGTTTTTCATTACACCATTAATCTCCATAAACAAGGCATGTTTTTTTTTAGTTACAGATCGACTAGAAAAAATGCATATGCGAAACCAGATGGGTGAAATTAACAGTTTCATTAAACTGGTTTTCAAATTGCCAGTTCAACAATTATCACCAGTGACATCATGGCTTGGATTTTGTGCTACAGTTAGAATTTGAACTTTAAAGAATGCGCAAAAAGGAGCAGTTTTACTCTAGACTTATTTTTTTTTATTATATTCACTAGTGCAGAAAATTGTTTAGATGCTTTTGCCGAGAAAATACTGATTGGGACTGTTTGGGGGGAAATTTATTTTAATGTGTGAAAGCACTAACGAAGCCTTCTCAACCTGCCTATGTTTCCGTGTACAGAGTGTTTTTGCGCTATGGCTTAGAGCTTCGTGAATGATCTCCCTTTTGCTCCGCATTCTCCAGCAATCCCAGCTACCTGCACACTCCGCTAGTGATTTCTGGGGTTCTGTGCCAGGGGTCGGCGGGGCGAGTGTTGCATTTGGAGCTCCATTGGGTTTGGAGTCTCTTCTCTCCTCGGAGCCCACAAAGCCCGTGCCCGTGGGCACGCAGGCAGAACTCATCATCTCGGTTGGGGGTTTGGCAGAACAGGTGAGGCAGGGATGAGTTGTTAACAAAATGCTAATGTGGCCCTGCCCTAAGTGTGGGCAGTAGGGCATCGGAGATGGTACATATTTAAAAGTAAACATATGGCCCGGCGGGAGTGGCTCAGTTGGTTGAGCATCATTGTCCTATGCACCGAAAGGTTGCTGGTTCAGTTCCCGGGCAGAGCACATACCTGGGTTTCAGGTTTGATACCCAGTCAGGGAGCATCCGGAAGATTGATGTTTCTCTCTCAGATTGATGTTCTCTCTCTCTCTCTCTCTCTCTCTCTCTCTCTCTCTCTCTCTCTCTCCCCCCCCCCCCCCCCCCTCTCTAAGTATTCCTCAGGTGAGGGTTAAAAAAAGGAAGTTTAAAAGTAAACATATAAGTAAACATATGCACAAGCAGAAGTAGGATTTACTTTGCAGCTCCATCGAGTGCTGCAGGCACTGCACCCAGTGAAGGTTCGCATCCTACCTAAGGGTGGAGCAGGATGGAATTCTTCTCTCAACTAGGCAAAGGGAACATCCAAAATGAGATCACCAGACTCCTGTGGAAAAGGGTGTTGTTACTCAGATATATCCCTACAGATGAGCAGAGGGAACTATTCAAGGATGTTCACTGCCATCTTGTTGGTTATAGCAAAACCAAGGGAAGCAACCCAGGAGTCTAAAAATAGAAAACTGGTAGGACAACAGCACTTCTTTAGAATGCAATCCTATTGAAGCTTTAGAATGAATGAGCTTCTGACAGCCACAGGCAGATACTCAAGAGATATGATTAATTTAAAAAATATATGTTTTATTGATTGAGAGAGAGAGAGAGAGAGAGAGAGAGAGAGAGAGAGAGAGAGAGAAACATTGATTGGTTACTTCCCCTATGCACCCCAACTGGGGATCGAACCTAAAACCTGAGTATATGCCTTTACTGGGAATCGAACCAGCAACCTTTTGGATCATAGGATGACACTCAACCAACTGAGTCAGACCACCAGGGCTGAGATATGGTTAATTTCTAAAAGTTGAGGGTCAGAATCTATAGGAACTTTTTGGAAGAAATATGTGTATGTATATATGCAAAGAGATGTGTATATGAATTATTGTCTGTGCAAAGGAAAAGCCTGGAAGCATGTATACCAAGCTTTTAACAGTGTTTCCCTTTGCTATTAAAGAAGGCTTGGGAGAATATTTATTTAAATTATGAGAATCATTTTGCTACCCCTGACACGAAAACATTGAATTACTTGATTGTTTTTTCAATTCTTATTTTATAATGATTCTTCGTATTAAAATATCCGAAAGCAGCAGCACTTTCTCAAAATCTTCATTAGAATCATATATGCTGCCTGTTTGCAGCCCATTTTTAATTAGTGAAGAAAACTTTAATGGAGTTTATTGTACTTTTGAAGCCAAATCCCTGAAACAATGACTACTTCTAATGATAAAGAGGGCACTATTTTTAAATCTCCTGAGAATAAGTGGGTTTTAATTTGGGGGGCGGGGGAAGAAGGATAGGGACAGAGGGAACTTCTGTTTTTATTTTATATAAATCTGCACTGTTTTATTTTTATTTATTTATTTTTTACAAAAAGCCGCTATTTCTTTAGGGATTAAAGAAATACAGAAAGAGGAGCAAATTCCATTTGTTCAGTAATGTGATTTTTTCTCAGCACCTACCGCTTGGGATGGAGAGAGTAAAGTCAGGCCCAGCTGCTGGCTCTGACCCTGTGAGGGCTGGAGTGGGAGTGCCAGGAGCCAGGACATGTGACTTCTTAGCTCTGGGTGTAGGTGGTGGGTGGCCTCCTTCCCCACAGCTTAGCCGAAAAGACACATGCCACCTCTCAGGTGGATCCAGAGCTGGGCTCGGCCACTCGCCAGCTATTGTAACCTGAGACAGGTTAATCTACCTCTCCAGACTCCAGTCTCCTCTTCCAAAAAAAATGAGGCATCCAGGAGGCAGCCAATCAATGATTCTCTCTCCTCATTGATGTTTCTATCTCTCTCTCCCTCTCCCTTCCTCTCTGAAATAAATAAAATATTATAGTACCACCTCATAAAAGTGTTGGGATTACATGACATCATTTGCATAAGTCACCTAACGCAGTATTTGGCATTTTGTAAGCCTTCAATAAACGTTGACTAGTTATTGTATTTAGAAACCCACGAGAAAAATTGGAGACAAAACATAGGAAAGCACCTCAAAATAAGTTTCTATTGCTCAACATTTTAGAACAGCACCTAGGAACTAATCCTGAAATAAAGCACATTCTTCTTCAGAGAGTCTTAGAGGGGGAAAAAGTCTCTGGAAGATTCGGTGATCCTGATTTGGTGATGACTTATCTGGTTGAGTAAATTACTCCCAAGGCGCTATCTCAGCTATATAAGGCACATCCTTTTCCCCAGGATACTAGGCTGTCATTTGGTGCCAAAGGAAAAGCTATTTACAGAATGACACCGTGGCATCCCCGAAGGGTTTGATGTATCTCCCCCATAAGGTGGTATATTTCAAGGCTCTGCAGAACTAACCATATTAATAACTTAGCGGGGTGAATTGGCTTTTCCCTCTTCGATCCCATGGTAATTAATTGTGTGGGCTTTGAATTGTGTGCCTTACAGTGCCAACGCACCAACATGAGTCCGTGTTGGAGATCGGCGGGATGATATTTGAGAAGGCTGCAAAGAGACTCTCCAGTGTTGATGGTCTTCACCGAATTAGTTCTGTGGTCCCCCTTCTGATGGATTCCAGCTGCTGCGGGTATCATAAAGCATCCTACTACCTCTCGGTCTTTTATGAAACTGGATTAAATATACCTCGGGATCGGCTGCAGGTAGAGTATTTCATGGGCTCCAGGGGTATCCATCACCGACGTTATATTTGCAGAGTAATGCTCTCATGCCCCCGGGGGACCTGGACAGGCGCATGCTCCCAGGAATCCTTTAGAATCTTTACATCAAGATCAACGTCCTAGCCCGGCCGGTGTGGCTCAGTGGTTGAGTGTCAACCTATGAACCAGTAGGTCACAGTTTGATTCCCGGTCAGGGCACATGCCCGAGTTGCAGGCTTGATCCCCAGTGGGGGTCATGCAGGAGGCAGCCAATCAATGATTCTCTCTCATCATTGATGTTTCTATCTCTCTCTCCCTTTCCCTTCCTCTCTAAATCAATAAAAATATATTTTTTTAAAAAAGAAAAGATTAATATCCTAGGGCTGTGCTCAACACAGGCTCTGGCTTTCAGTGTCCCTTCCTAGGCTCTGGGATGTGACTGGTATATGCTAAGGAACAGTTTGGGCAGGACTTACCAGAATCTTAGCCCTTCAAGAACAGGCGCCTCTTACCCAATTCTTATAACTGCTCTGGCTGTGGGACCATTACCCCGTGACTTCTTAGCTAAGTGAAGTCATTTGGACCTAGAAACAAAATATTGACACATCCAGCCTTTAAAATAGAAGCTATCCCAGGCAGTTTCGTTTTTGGTTCTGGATGCAGATGTATTATGCCACTTGCGTAACATTTGGAATCACGTTTGTGTTAAGTACTGCTGAACGGTCCCCGGTCCCCTTTTTTCTGGATTTGTTCATCTTGGGTTTGGAGAGTCAAACTGCTTAGACATGCCCAGGTGGCTCCGTGTTTTGTTTTGTTTTTCGATGACTTCTTTGTGCCTTTCTCTGGCTTGTAGAAGCTCGTGAGGGATGGCATGCTTTCCTGAGTCCCTGAGGCAATCCCCACAAAGGTGGAATAGTCCAGAAGATTCTAGCCCTGTCTCTGTCACAAAGTGGCTGGCTGGTTGGCCATAGACAAATGACTTCACCTCTCTGGGCCTCTATTTCCTCAACTATGAAATGAGATTGTTCCATCAGTTGATCTCAAAAGACCCTTCCTAACACTGACATTCTGAGAGCATGAGGCTGGGACATGACCCAGTCTTCAGATCACCTGGCCATAGATGATGTAGCTGAAGCAGACATAGAGCAGTCGACGGATACACAGAGATACTGTGAGAGAAGGCAGGGAAAGCCCTGGTTTTCACTGAAGAAGGGCAAAAATCAAGGAATTTTAAGCTATTAGACATTTAGAAGGACAGATATCTGGGAATCTGTAAGCCATGAGAACGAGGCTGTGCCTTCTCTAAAGAGATTTTTAAGGCCTGTTAATGTGCTTTGGAATGACTAGGATCATATAAGGACAGGGCCCATGACCTTTCAGTGGTTGGATTTTAAGACCCTTATCTCTAACCTTCTGAACACTGTCCATTTCTTCCTAACAGGGCATGTTGTATAGTTTGGTTGGAGGCCAGGGCAGTGAGAGGCTGTCTTCAATGAATCTTGGGTACAAACACTTCCAAGGTATTGACAACTACCCCCTGGACTGGGAGCTGTCCTACGCCTACTACAGCAATATTGCCACAAAGACACCCCTGGACCAGCAGACGCTACAAGGAGATCAGGTACAAAAGACAAATGGGAGGAAGTGGTCATGGCCCTGCCTACCAGGGCTTCCTTAATTTTCATAAGGTGCCTGCACCTGTGGCTGTTGACCTCCACTGGCCTCCTGAGGATGAGCGTCTCTGCATGGAGAGAAAAGCTTTCTTGCATTCTCCACTTCCTGTTTCCTATCTGTGCTCTCAGGCTGAGTGTAGGAACAATCCTCCATGTAGCCATGAAAAGCTTTTCATGAATGGGAGGACTTGTACACAAAGGGTAGATCTGGCCCTGGACGAATTTTGATTTTGCAAGAAAATGTGTACCACAAATATAGGTGTCTTGACTTTGTTCCAACACCATGTGACATGGTAGGTCTGAAGATGTTAGGAGACATTGTGTCAAATGGAGGGGGGAAATAATAAACCAAGGGCTCCTATCAACATGTAATGAGCAAGAAGGGTCTATGACATTAGGAAGCAAGCTCCGTCCCTAGCTATGCTCCCACTGTTGGGGGCCTTAAGAAGCGTCTATCCCCATTGTGTAGCCTTACTGGCCCAGTGCTCCCACCTTACTGACAGCATGTGCCGTTTGCACTCACTCCAGCCCCTGACTTTGCAGGCTCCCAAATACTTTTGACTCTTTGGTCAAAGCTATCAGTGGCTCATATCAACTCACAGAGCATAATGTGTTATGTTATACCAACCGATGGTTGTTTCCAGACTTGTATGGATGGCAGCAAATAAAAGGGTACAAGGAAAGGAGACAGTGTAAGAATAAAAGGGAGGCTGTCTCTAGATGACAGAGATTTGTATCCAGCGGGAGCAGACCCTGACACGGTTAGCTTCTTGGAATGTGTTTTATATATATCCTCTTTCTCCAGAAAGGATTTAAGATGTTTTGATGGTCTAGCACTTGAGATGGTCGAGAGGAAGCCTGAGTAGTCTTACCAGGAGTAGGCATTGTTTTTCCGTAAAGGGACAGATAGTAAATATTTTAGCTTTTGTCTATATAGTCTCTGTTGCAACTACTCAACTCTGCCAAAGACAATCCTATGTAATAAAAGCAAATATGCTAATTAGACCAGAAGGCAGAACGACCTTCCGGAACGACCTTCCAGAACAACCAGTGGGCAGGGCCGTGAGGCAGCCAGGGCTGCGATGGGCCAAGCCCCTTGCACGAATTTCATGCTTTGGGCCTCTGCTTTGCTGGGTTTGGCCTTGATCTAGGCCAGAAGCTCCTGATTTTCCCTGCTTATGCTCTGTGAGCCAAGGGGATGGGCCTAGCTAGGTCAGGGTTGTGGAATCAGGCTGAGCAGCTAATTGGGAACCAGACCCCTCACTGTGCCCTCAGAAACCCACAGTGCAGAAACCGTGTGCTTTGATGATTGGGAATGGATGGTTTCCGGAAAAGAAATCTACAGTGACCACTACACAGTTATGAAATAAATGACTCGAAGATACATGCCGTCAGTGCACATTAAACATGAGTCAAGCTATAAAACACCAAAAGGCTGTCGGTGTAGACATCGAATTCCTTTAGAAAGTGATTTCTTTGCAATAAACTTACGTACACACTCTTATCATCATCAAATGTATTCTCTCAGTGCATATGAGCCAAGGGCAAAATTTGACCGCCATTTGACAGGGATTAATTTAATTGATAGTTTTGTTTTTAATTCTTCTGAAAAAACATTTCATACAAAATCAAGCCACGAAATAATATTGCCATCGTTCTACTAAGCCTGGATATGGTAATGATGCCCTATATGTATAATATACTTTTAAGAATTCTAATTCAGCATAAATTAGCAACGGGAAATGGTATGTTGCTAACAAGATCCTCTCCTTTTGAAGATTTGACACATGAAACGTTATGATTATGAAAGAAAATGTTTAATTGGTCAGAACCAGCGAAGATGAATAGAAATGATCCATCTTGCAGCTGAAAAGTCGTCTGATTAAGAATGCCAGATACGAATTACACAGTTAGGAGAGTTGCATCATAGCTCATTTTCTTAAGAATGTGTAATTAATGGCTGCTCGAGAATCTAAGCAGGTGTCGTACGTTGATGTAAATGTCCTTTTGTCGAGAAATCTATTAGCTCGGCAGCAGCACGTAGCAGAGGAGGAGATCTGCGAGGCCAGACCTCTAATTAGCAAGCCGAGGATCCGTCAGAAATTCTTTTCTTGATTCTTGTCTCATTGTCTCTTTTATGTACCTCTCGGTTCCCATCACTCCATCTCCTTTATGAGGACTCTCACTTCACGTCACCTCTTTACGGTTTCATGGGGCTCCGCTTCTGATTGCAGAGAAAGAAGATGCTCTTGGGTTTTGTTTGTTTTTGTGGCTTAATCACAGATGAGTTCCTCTCAGCCTCTCAGTACTAGCTTTCCCGCCACATTTGGTCCACAGCCTCCTCTCTGTGCCTGCTAGTGGGCAGGGGTCTCAGCTCACCCACACCCCTGCTTTCAAGTCCTCCGCACGCCGATGATGCTCACACATTCCTCTCCATCTGAGCTATTTCTTACGCCCCGCATCTGCGATCCTCATATACCACAAAGGCAGCCCAGCATCTCCGCCCTCGTTTCCCCACAAACACCGTAACCGGTGGCACCATTTCCCATGCTAGCGACTGGGGTGTCATCTTTGGTCCCCCCACCATCCGATCAATCACAATCCACAACAGCTTTCATGCCAGGCTGTCTCTTCCCATTTCCATCCCTGCTGCCACAGCCTCCATTTGTCTTTCATCGTCTCTCTCTGAGCTGCTGTGACAGCCTCCTGTAACGGGCTGAGTTATGTGCCCTCTCCCCAAATTCATACATTGAAGCCCTTGCCCCCAGTACCTCAGACTGTGACTGTACTTGGAAACAGGACCTTTAAAGAGGCAACTGAGTCACAATGGAGTCATTAGGTGGGCCCTAATCCAGTAGGATGGTGTCCTTACAAGAAAAGGCGATGAGGACGCAGACAAAACAGACAGAGGCATGACCATGTGAGGACCTGGTGAGAAGCTGGCCATCTGCACGCTAAGGAGAGAAGCCTCAGAAGAAAGCGAATCTGCTAACATCTCGGACTTCTGGCCTCCAGAACTGAGGAAATAAATTGAAGCACCCAGCCTGGGGTATTTTGTCACGGCAGCCCTAGCAAACTAATATACCTCCCAGCTGTCATCAGTCTTGTCCCTTCCCATGCTCTTCTCATTCTTACGGAGGCCAAAGTGGGGTGTCGACAGTGGAGGTTCGAAACCTGGCTACGCATCACAATTACTTGGTGGCTTAAAGAACACATCTACACAGGCTCCACCCCATAATCTTATAGAAGTGAGGGGGGCCCAGACGTATAACATGCATATATATATATATGGGTATGGATGTGTAAAAGCTCCTCAGATGACCCTAATGTGCGGCCAGTGTTGAGAAGTACTGACCCAGAGCACAAGGTCCAGCTCGTCACGTGGCATAGGAGACACTCCTTGCCCTGATTTCTCTGTTGCCCCAGCCTCAGCTCTCAGTCATCCCCACCTGGCCTGTCCACTCAGGAGAAACTAAGCTTTTGGCCACACTTCCTGGCCTTCCTGGGTCTCCTCTGCTTGGGGTCCTTTCTCCATGCTCACCAGCCTTTTCCCGCCTGCTGACTCCCCTCCTACTTGAACACAAGGGTCAAACTTCACCTCCTCCTCCTGACCTTCCTTTTGCTATGGGGCTTTGGAACAGGGCACCTCCCTGCCATTGCTCTTATGGTGAGTGTTGGGTACATGGTCATAGACCTGGCTTCCCCAGTAGACTGTGAGCTCCAAGACAGGCACCTGGTCTACTCACATCAGTGGCCCCAGTGCCCAGCACTGTGCTTGACATGTAGTTGGTGCTCAGTGTTTACTGATCGGATGATGGACAGGCTGGGGGTGCAGAGCGTCCAGTCCAGTGATGAACACAAAGGGACTGTAATTTCTTGTTGACTTTGGTGCTTTGTGATGCCACCAGTGTTTGTTGACAGCCAGTACCCAGAGCAGTGGCTGTCAACTCTGCCTCTCGCATTCAACACCACTTCGTATGCGGCACCCCCTGTGTGGGGAATCTTGGGTACTTGCTTTCTTGTCTCTCCATAGTTACTGACAATATTCCCTTGTTCTTACTTTAAAATCCCAAAATGTTACATTTCAACAAAGAACACACACCCCCCCTATTGGGAGCCAGCCAACCATGATAGCTGATTTTAACACACACACACACACACACACACACACACACACACACACCACACACACAGATACACACACATTCGCAGGCAGGTGCACAATGGGGGCTCCCACAGGCCCCAGAGGAGGTTAGTGGAGGTTGCTGGTTTAAGTAGAAGCCCTGAAACGGCCCTGCACTGAGTTCCCCAGAGTCCTGACTGCGCCCTCACATTTCACACCCCCGAGAACGCAGGTGATGGGAAGGAGCGACACTGAGGGCCTTCGCACCCAGCTGCAAAGTTGGCGGGTTTTCCTTCCATCCTCTTTTTTCTGTCTCTTTCTCCCTCCCTCTCCCCTGTCCCCCACTGTTTCCCTCCCTCTCTTTTCCTCTCTTCCTTTTTTCTTCCCTTCCTTTCCTTCTATCCCTTCTTTATATTCCTGCCTCATTTTCTCCTTTCTCTCTCCCTCCCCCCCCTCCTTTCTCTTTCTCTCTCTCTTTGAACAAATTAAGGAGGAGAAGAAGAAAAATAACTCAAAATCCAAATTCTCTTGTCGGCCAAAACACTTCTAGGTGAGAATTCCATTATTTGAGCTGCCCACGTTTCAGGAGGATATAGGCTTGTTGCAGGTGATTGTGTCCCTGGAGTTTGAGCTGAAGCACCCGCTCATTGGCCAGACAGTTGGAAGAGAGTTAACACGAGAAAGTGGCTCGTGCCCAGGCAGGATTCCAGGACCTTCTCACTAGAGGACTTTGTGAGGGAGCTGATCGGAGCCCTGCCTTCAGACTCAAGCCAACATGGCTTCCAGGGCCAGCTCTACAATGTGACCTTGGGTTCACCTTCTGCACCTCGGTTTTTTGCTTTGTGTATAAATTAAGGACAGTGTTATTTGTGTCACAGCTCTGTTGTGAGGACTAAATGAAAAACACACACAAACGAGTTGTTAAACATCCAGCACACAGTTGGTTTCAATAAGAGGTCGTGAGCATCATTATTCTCACTGTTGCTCTTTGCTTGGTGGCCTCCCGAGTAGACATTTGGCAGGAATTAATACCTGCTGGGTTCTGAGTCCTCGCACTGTCCCCAAGTCTCAGTGCCCCAGTGCCTGAGGGACCTCTGACTCCACATGGTGACAGTGGAGAAGGCAGCTGAAAGACCTTCTCAGGAATAGGGTTGTAGGCAAGTTTGTGAATCTAAGTACTTTTTATTTGTTTTTGCTTTTTTGTTAATCGTCACCCGAGGATATTTTTCCATTGATTTTTAGAGAGAGTGGAAAGGAGGGGGAGAGACAGAGGAGAGAAACATCAATGTGAATCAGACATATTGATCGGCTGCCTCCAACACATACCCCAGCAAAGGCCAGGGATGGAGCCTGCAACCGAGGTACATGCCCTGTACCGGAATCAAACCTGGGACTCTTCAGTCCTTGGGCCCACGCTCTATCTACTGAGCCAAACCAGCTAGGGCATAAGTACTTTTTAAAACTAACCAACAGAGAGGCCAGAAGGGAAATCATCTCCTTGTTCTCTGAGGCTTCCTTCCCAAGCTTGCCCAGATCCAATTTTCCCACCCTTTGCCCGTGGCTGTGCTGGCCTGGGAAGCCCTCCTCAGGACTCCTCGCAGCACTGCTGATAGATTCATTATGCCTAAGGGGAAGCCGTGAAACAACAGGACCGGTTTTTTTGATAAACAGCCAAAATTTAGACTTAAAAATGAATCTTATTTTCTTCAGAGGAATCAGAGACCTGGGAGGCTGTTCACAAATTCAAACCTTTTGTGAACTTTCCCTGCGGGTTGGTCTCCAGCGCCTCCAGCACATTCCTGCGCATCCCTGAGCTAACCTGCCCTCTTCTTTGCGAGGTGGATTGAATTTTTGGAAATAGCCCAAAGATATCTGAAGCTGAGCCTGCTAAATAAAAAGGATTAGTCATGCAGGATAATAACACTTTGGGATAAAAAAAATAAGGTTATTCTTAGAAAATATTGATTTACCTTTTTTGATGCTACGTTAATCTGGCTCTGAAATCGGAGGCACAAGAGCAGACTTCTGAACACGCTTAAGCGCTAGAAGTGGAAGTGGAATAAACGGTGGCCTCCCAAGGCAAAAGCTTCCACAGGAACAAAACTCCTCGTTTAGATACATTGGCTGTGATGCGTTTAGAAAGAACTTGATGTGATGACATAGAAGAGTGGACAACCCTCACATATCAATTATTCATAGAGTTTTCCTTGAGCAATGCCTGGTTTAAGAATAACGTCCCATCTTTTGCATGCCCATATCATTTAGTTTCCTGTCTCCCTTTCTTCCTTTCCTTCTTCTCTCCCTCCCCACCCCACCCGGCCTCCCATCCTTCCTTGCTTCCTTCCTTTCTCCCTTTCTAGGCATACGTTGAAACAATTAGACTAAGAGATGATGAAATACTCAAGGTGCAAACCAAAGAAGGTGGGGACGTCTTTATGTGGTTGAAGCACGAAGCTATCCGAGGCAACGCGGCGGCTCAGGTAAGGATGCGGCCCCTGCCCTGAAATTCTCCGTGGTGACAGACCAGGCGATGCCATGGTAACAAAACACCCCAAACCGCCGTGGCTTAAAACAGTGCTGGGTTATTCCATGCTCACACTACCTGTCCAATGGGCGTTGGTATGGGCTGTGCTCTCACAGCTCCAAGGCACTCAAGCTCACAGCACAGGCTGGCTCTTGACGCCTCTTCTCAGAAAGTGGCACAAGTCACTCCTCACATTTCATTGGCCAAAGCAAGTCGCTTGGTCACTCTTGACTCCAGGAGGCCTGTCGTGTAGTCCTGCCCCGAACACAGAAAGTGACAGCGCCACCGTGTTTATGGCCAGTCCTAAGACCACCAGTGGACACTTCAGTGCATGAGACAGAAACAAAGAGAAGCACCTTGGGCTGCAGGAGAGATTAGATGGGCATCAGGAAGGCCATGGACTCAGCTAGAATAATAGAAAACCATGTGCCAAGAAGATCGACCCTGTCTCTTGAACATGTCTTGTCTCTGGATGGACTTTTAAGAGGTACTAGGAAGGGAAGGGGGGCTGGAGAACGTCCCCTACCTGCCTTTTTGCTTTGATTTCACTATGAAGCTGAGCCCCGGATGGGAGCCGGCTAAGGCTGATTGCCCTGAGAGGAGGGGGCCTCCTTCCTGAAAGATTTAGCTTTGGCTTCATGCTCCTGGTGAGCACAGTGTCGAGAACAGCCTCTGGGCCTGCTAGGCCAGAAGACCAGAAATGGAAAGAGAAAGGAAACAGCAGAGAATAAACACATCGACAGGCACACATTTCAGACACTCTAGTAACGGGTCTCCCACCCTCTGTAGAAGTCCTCCTAGCCTTTCAGGAGAAACTTCACTGGAAGTTGTATTTGGCAGAGAGTGGGTGGGGGAGGGGAAGGGAAAAGAAGGAGATGAGAAAAGAAGCAGAAAAAAGGCAAGACAGTCAGGGGGCCCACATGGGGCCAGAATGTTAACAGACATTGCCACTGGCTCCATTCGCGGGCATCTGTCCCTAGCCTGCACGCTTTCTAGTGCAGGAAGGAGTTCCAGTGCATAGTTCTGGAAGGCCCATGCTAGGGCCACTTCTGGGTGCTTTAGAGCCTGCGTGAACTTTCCCAGCAATGGACACTTCTTCCTTCCTTCGTTCACTTTGTTGAGTGGTTCCTATGAGCTCTGCAGGGTGGAAGCTGAGGGGACAAGGGCAGATAAATCACATCTTGGGGTTTCTACCCCCGAGAGGGCTCCCAGTCTTGAGTATAATTGTGAAGCCAGCCTTGGGGACAAATGCTGGGCTAGGAAGAGATAAATGCCATAGAAGGACACCCTAACTGATAGGGATGTACAAAGGCCTCTACGCTGTTCACTGGGCCAAGAGGGTGGGCAGTACCTCTAGAAGGGGGCTCTGGAGGAGAGGAGACAATGTGCTTGTCTTCAGCCAGCTTTGGCCCTGGGTGCCGTTGATTCATTTATGCACATGGATGTACACACAAGCACACACGCACACTCAGATGCAGCATTTCCAACTTGTGTCAAGGACTTGCATTGACACAAGTCCACCTTTAGGGCTCTCCCACCCCCCACACCCTCAGCCCTGTTGGAAGATAGCAGGTGTCTACCTCATTCTTGGTTCTCAGTAGGAAAACATTCCAAGTCAGCTTTGACCTCCCACCTTTCAAAACCTTACGTTGAGCATCACATTAGAAAAGTCACTATTCTAAATTGCTCTTGTCTTGCAGCAACGCTTGGCCCAGATGTTGTTCTGGGGGCAGCAAGGTGTGGCCAAGAATCCTGAAGCGGCGATCGAGTGGTACGCCAGGGGTGCCCTGGAGACCGAGGACCCCGCGTTAATATACGACTACGCCATTGTGTTATTCAAGGTAAGCATCACTCATTTTGTGCTGAAGTTGTGCCATTCTCATCACACATCCGGAGCCATTGCCTGTAGGCATGCGTCAGATGGAGTCCAGAACTGAAGACACTTGGTGTGCGCGTCTGCCACTCCTAATGGAGAGGGGTATTTGCTGGAAGGGCCGTACCCTGGTCTCGTTTTTAGTCATTAGTCTTATGTTTGGCACCTGGATTCTCTTTGCTTTTGCCAGAGCTGTGGCATTCTGGAGGAGACACCCCATGTTTTATGGATTGGAATGTGGCCACCAGCCCCCAAGGAGCTGCAATTTTGCCAGCAGGCAGCATCGTCACTAAATTACAGCATAAAGTGTGTGTTTGGGCGGCCTCCCAGCAGCCCTGTTGATCAAACGAAGATCTTGGTTTTAAGCCATAGGAGAAGAGGGGGACAAGTGGGCCGAGCGTTAGCCCAGGACACAGGATGGAGTTCAAGTCCCTCTTCTCCTGTGTCCTTAGAGTTACCTGATCTCATGGGACAACAGTGAATTAAATACCATGATGAATGGGCCTTGAGAACCATAAAGCATGGTGTGTTTTATACAAAACAATAATAGTGCACAGTGATGGAGCATTTATTACCTAATTTACATGTATGAACGCGTTTAATCCCCACAGCAACCTTGCAAGGTAGGCACTGTGGTGTATTATTCTTGCTGCTTATGTATATGGTAACAGGGGCACAGAAAGGCTTTGTAACTCACCCACCCAAGGTCACACAACTGCTACATTTCAAACCTGGGACTGGGACCCAGGCAATATCCCCCCAAACACAGAGACATCAGTTCACCAATCTGGGAAACGTGAAAAGCTGTTGGCTCCGGTAAGGAAAACCTTAGACCCTGTGTCCATGCCCAAAGGAAGCAGCTGCCCCCCAGATAGCAAGTGTCTTCACACAAAGGCGTGGATTCATGCGGCCAGGCCCACCTCCAGAACCACAGCTGTGTCCACCCGCTGATTAACAACCAGGACTTTTCTACGTGTCTAACCTTCCAAAGCTTTAAAACCTATTGGTTGTTATGGTTTCCAAATTTATAGCCTGGACTTTCTCTTTCCAGTTGTCAGATCAACATAGAAATGGTTTGACTCTTAGCCATATGCCAATACATTCATGTATTTGTTCAATAAACACTCATTCAGGGCTGACAAAATGCCAGGCTCTGGCCTGGATGGAGGGACATATGGATGCATGAGCCACGTTCCTGACCTCCGGGGGCTCATGAACGGATGGGGAAGGCAGGAGAGACTGGCACAGAGGAGAGGCACTTGTCCAGCAGAGTTGGGGCTGACCACTGCCCAGCGTGCACGATTCAGACCTTACTTCTGCCCACCAGGAACTCGCGATCTATAGAGAGAGGCAGACACATAAATAAATTACTCTGCAGGTGACAATGTTTCTCCGGGGTTTAATTTCCCAACCCTTAAAGCTTTTTTGATTTTCCTGCATTTTAACTGAGTTATTCCTAAGTGGGACGAGGGAAGCCCTTGATCAGCAATTAAAGGAAGATTTTTAACCCTAGCCAGAAGGTCTCTTTAAGTGTATTACGTGCGAAAATCCCCATACAGAAAATGGGCTTTCCAAATGGGAAGTGCAGTAAGGTGCACTTGGCTCATTGTATTGTGTGGGTGTCTGGCTGACTGTAGTCAAGGATGGCGCCATGCCGGTGGCTGTGGTTTTCCCACGAAAGCCAAGTCCATCCCACTTTGCATCCACGGGAAGATGGCACTTTGACATTCACTGCATAACTGTCCTCAATGAATTCATTCGGTGAATATTACTGGGCACTTACTACATACCAGGACTTTACAGTTCTCTCATTTAGCTTCTCCCAATACTACTCAGATTCCAGTATAATAAGTAGTCGTTGTGCACGACATTATCCCAGTTCTGATTAAGTAACAAATATACTGGGAAATCCAGGACCTAGAAGTCAGAGTGCCTGGGTTCTAGTTGCAGATCTAACCGTGGGTTTTCAAATAAGTCAGCCCTCTCTGAGCCCCAGTTTTATTTCTTCAAAATAAAGAAGATGGAAAAGATCAACTTTGGCTTCCACATTCTGGAATTCTGGTGCTTTCCCAGAAGTCAAAAAAGGTTGTGCCATCGGCATCTCCAGTTATTCCAAGTAGCCTCATGTCCCCTTCCCCCTCCTCTCCCTCTTTAATTAAATGAAGCAATGGTGCACTTCTGAAAAATATTTTCATCCTCCACTTTGCTTCAGCTCATCGGTTTTACTAAATAGGTAAGTTAAAGTCTAATAGAAACGTGGTGTGTATAATTTAACCTGCAGCTGGAGTCACAGTTTTATTTTGGGTCCTGAGAAATACAGAGACAAGCATAGTCTGCGTGTTTTCTGTGTCCTGCGAGGAGGTTATGAATCGTTATACTTTCTCAGCACAGAGCTGAAACGTACAGGGGGAAATGCGGTGTGGGGTTCTAAGCTTGGGCTCTGGAGCCCGCTGGCCTGGGTTCGAATCCTGCCTCTACGTCTCATTCGCTGTGTGACTCTGGGCAGGTCTCTCAGATGAGAATGACAGCCGCACCTTGGCGGGGTTGCTGTGAGAGTTAAAGATGATGGGACAGTGCTTGGCCCTCGTTAATTAACGCAGGAATGTTTACTAGTGCTGTCTCCTTGACTATAGAGCTAAGTATTTAATTAGAGTTAAAAGTGGGATTCATTGCAAAGCCTGCTCACCTCATATTATCTGTGACCCCATCTACCACTCTGAGGGGCATGTGCTGGGGGGAGGGGTGTCCATACAGACTCTGAGTGAGTTTGCTCTCTTTGCCTGCCATCCTCCTTGTCAGAGCCATGTCAAGAGAGACCTAAGGGAACCCCCTGCCCCCCTGTCTCATTCTCAGACCCACCATTTCCCCACGTGGTCCTGCAGACAGCTCAGCACAGTCCCATTGAGGTCCTCTCTTGTAACAAGAACTTCAAAGCCGTTTCTCTCTATGGTGTACAAAACACCTCTGCTGGGAAAACTTGATTTTACTGGAGGAACCTTGTTCGTTTCTGTCAGTGTCTGACACAGCCAATTCCAAGGGTCCTTACTCCTTCAGAGAAGTCCTCAAGCTGGTTCTGAAGCCACATGTCCCACCCTGGGGACTCTGGTGAGGACCTCGGGGGTTGCAGATGGCAGCGTAATAACTCTTTCCTGTTGGACACACATCAAGTGCTTTGTCTGGCTGCAAACTAGGTGATCCCCAGAGAAACACATCCAGGATGACCACACTCATTCAACCTCATTCCCGGCCTCTCCCAACAGCACCTGTGGGTTGACGGGCATGCCTGTCACTCGATGATAAATGGGGGCTTTTGTGTGGATGCTGAGCTGGGAGGCTGAGGTTTGTTGCCTCTGCTCCACAGATATGAAGCAAAATGATGATGATGATGATGTACAGCACTGCTTATAGAAACCTTTAAGATGGGATTTATAATTAAGAAGGCTTGGGTTTGTGTGTGTGTTTTTTTTAAGTATTTTGTATCAAACACCAAGGTATCTGTGTGATATTTTTGAGTGCATGCTGAGTTTCTTTTCTTAGTAATCTTTGCTGTTTATCATTGTTTAGGGTCAAGGAGTAAAAAAGAACAGACGGCTCGCCCTGGAGCTGATGAAGAAAGCAGCTTCCAAGGTAACACTTTTGCATATTGTCAGAGGAAAACATTCGCCCCACACACACCCATTGGGGAGAGGAAATGGCCAGCGTCTCCCGACAAAGCCCCAAGGTAGAAATAGGGTGGGGAGGGAGGGCTCGAGAGCATTGCAACATTAGTCATTTTTGAGCTACACACGTACAGAAACCCGCTACAATGGGGACAGCCGCATTCAAACGCGGAATTCACCTGCAGTCAATAGAATTCAGGCCGATTTTGTTTGAAGGCTAAAATTATAATCAAGGCTGCCCATAACAAGCAGCAGGGGCTCCTTGAAAGTGAATGGATATAAATGCCATTGAATTAGGAAAACCAAAAGCCTAATTCCCTGAAGGTTAACCCTGTCATGGCCAATGCCCACTTGCTTGAATAACAGGGCTGTTTATCAAGGTTAGTGCTGGGTTTAGGAATTACTTTGCTTTTGTCACTATTTACTCTTCAATGTTGTCACCAAGCCAGCTACTTGCAATATAGAACTACAGAATGGGGGTTAGGATATCCCTTGTTGAGGGGACACACACACACACACACACACACACACACACACACAGACGTGCATACATATCCCTGCATGGAAACATATGCCTGATGCGTGCCCACCCACACATGTATACTCATGCACATGCATATAGATTTGCACATAAATGGACTTGTAGAAACCACAACCTTACCAAGCCCTTGATAGCCCTTCTGGCTCTTGACTGTTTCTCTATCCCCGAGGCCGCTCCTGTTGGCCTCTCACGAAGACTCCTGCAGGAACCAGGCTGCTCTTCCTCACTTCCTTTCTGTAGGGAGCTCCGAGTTCCTGTGTTTCTGTAGCCCTGGAAGTGAGGGCATGGAGTGAGCGAGCCACGAGCCTCTCCTCCACCTGTGTGGTGGCAAGAGGGTATAGGACCCAGGAGCAGGGAACCCCCCGGAGTGCACAGCAGCTCCTGACCCCAGCACTGGAGCAGGGAACCCCCGGAGTGCACAGCAGCTCCTGACCCCAGCACAGGAGCAGGGAACCCCCGGAGTGCACAGCAGCTCCTGACCCCAGCACAGGAGCAGGGAACCCCCGGAGTGCACAGCAGCTCCTGACCCCAGCACAGGAGCAGGGAACCCCCGGAGTGCACACCTGCTCCTGACCCCAGCACAGGAGCAGGGAACCCCCCGGAGTGCACAGCAGCTCCTGACCCCAGCACTGGAGCAGGGAACCCCCGGAGTGCACACCTGCTCCTGACCCCAGCACTGGAGCAGGGAACCCCCCGGAGTGCACAGCAGCTCCTGACCCCAGCACAGGAGCAGGGAACCCCCCCGGAGTGCACACCTGCTCCTGACCCCAGCACTGGAGCAGGGAACCCCCGGAGTGCAAAGCAGCTCCTGACCCCAGCACAGGAGCAGGGAACCCCCCGGAGTGCACACCTGCTCCTGACCCCAGCACTGGAGCAGGGAACCCCCGGAGTGCACACCTGCTCCTGACCCCAGCACAGGAGCAGGGAACCCCCGGAGTGCACAGCAGCTCCTGACCCCAGCACAGGAGCAGGGAACCCCCCGGAGTGCACAGCAGCTCCTGACCCCAGCACAGGAGCAGGGAACCCCCCGGAGTGCACAGCAGCTCCTGACCCCAGCACTGGTGCAGGGAACCCCCGGAGTGCACAGCAGCTCCTGACCCCAGCACTGGAGCAGGGAACCCCCGGAGTGCACAGCAGCTCCTGACCCCAGCACAGGAGCAGGGAACCCCCCGGAGTGCACACCTGCTCCTGACCCCAGCACTGGAGCAGGGAACCCCCCGGAGTGCACACCTGCTCCTGACCCCAGCGCTGGTCATGGGAGGCACCAGTTTCAGAGCACCCTAAAGTGGGGCAGTGGGGGCTTTCCTGGCAGGTGTGAAATTTGCATCTCTGTGGCCATTCTGGCGGAGCACTGGTATCTGATGTGCTCTATTTTGGGTGTATTTTAGCCGGACTGAGATGAGTATTGAGGGAATTGCCGTTTTATGGCCTGGAGTAGTCACATCCTTTAAAAATGTTGAGTGAGTCTCACTCATTCCCTCTGCCGGGAGTTACTCAGCCCCTACTCTGCGTCAGACGCTGTAGTGCAGGTTGCACTTAGTTTGGTTTTTTGGAATTAGCCAAAGTCACTTGGAGGCAGACCTGTTGACCGAGCAGTAAATGTCCAGAACAAGGGATGAGTAAGAAATAAAACAAGCCCTACCTGGGGCTTGTGCGTCGGCCTGTGCACTGACGGGTCCCAGGTTCGATTCCGATCAAGGGCACATGCCCAGGTTGCGGGCTTGATCCCCAGTAGGGGGCGTGCAGGAGGCAGCTGATCAATGATTCTCTCTCATCATTGATGTTTCTAGTTCTCTCTCCCTGTCCCTTCCTCTCTGAAATCAATAAGAATATTTTAAAAAATAAAATAAAAGATTTCTTGCGGGGCTCCTGCATTGGGTCCAAACACAATGCCTAAAGGAGTTCTGCGGGCATTGGGGTGATGGCAGGTACCTGTGAATGAGCCTGTGGCCTCTGGAGGAAAGCACTGCAAAGCCATGTGGGTGTGCCTGTCCAGAGCTGGCGCTTGCCTCTTTATACTACGGCCTGGTCTATGACGTCATTGAAATGCACGAGTTCTGCAAGGCCCATCGGGAGCCTGCCTTGCCCCTGGGACTGTGCGAGCCTCAAGAAGAAATGAGTGGATCCATGGCACGGACTCTTTCCCGAGCATCAGCTGTCCAGGGACCTGCCCACCTGAACCACCTCTGCATCCTCAGGGTGTCAGGTCTGGGTTCCATTTTGTTGAGCATCTGCATCCGAGGGTGGCTTTGGTTCATCGGTCAGAGACTTTGTTGAGCACTGTCTCTGTGCCACGCACTAATATAAGTGCCTGGAATATAGCACACAGGTCCTTGCCCTCATGGAGCTTCCATTTGATGGGCTTTGTTCACTTCTTTCTCTTGGTCTTCTTGGCCCCCGGATTCCACATGAGAACCAGGAGGGGTAGCCTTTGGGAGCTATGACGACAGAAAAGGCTGCAGGCTAGGATCTTGGCATCTACTGTTAAGGGACACCTGGTCTTTGCTTGTGAAAAGGGAGGTGAAACAGATTTGGTTCCACACTTGCTCTCACTTAACAAGTCTTGCAGATGCGAGGGCACTGTTTGCCCCCTCTCCTCTCCCCCCTGCTTGTTCACGATCTCATGGGTCTGGCAGGAAGGGAGGAGTGAGCGCCGTATGCCCAGGTTTGCACACACACCGCTGCAGGCACCTGAGCCTTCAACGAGCAGGCTGGAGGCTGCCAGTGGAAAGAGGCAGGAGCCCTGGGGAGAGCAGAGGCCACCTGAGAGTATAACTCAGCAAGAACAAGGAGGCTCGAGGCTAGAGTCACAAACCAGCCCTTCCCTGGTACCAGCCCCAGTTCAGACTCAGTTCTGAAACCCTCCTCCCTCTTTCCCACCCTTCCCTCTGCCTCAGTCCCGAACTGGGACGCTAAGCAGTCACAAAGCACCTGTGCTTAGCAAGGAGGCTGCCACAGCTGCTTCCTTCAGAGGGTTTGTTGGTGTTCAGGATAGTCACCAACAGATGGGCAGACCGGTCACCTGGAAACCGTCCCCGCCAGGGCAGGTTGCAGCCGCCTGGTGCAGTCGAGCGCTCATGGATGTCAAGGGCAGCGTTGCTACTGCAGGACAATAAGAGGCTTTTGCAGACAAGGGCATCGTGTCAAAGCCCAGAGGAGCCGATTGATGATTCGGGGCTAGCGTCACTGCTGAGCTGGAAGGCAGGAATTCCAGTGGCAGCCGCCACCTGGGAAGACTCTGAATGGGGCTCATGTGTTCTAAGCACTCAGCTTTTCTTTCATGCCATCTGCCCAAAAAAGAGACTGGAGAGGTTTCGTTTAGACTCGTTCAGAATGCTCTCACAACAATTGATTCTCTTTAGGTTTCATTAAAAAAAATAAATAAATAACAATTCTTTCTTGTTGTTCTAAAATCCAGGGATTGCATCAGGCAGTCAATGGTCTGGGATGGTATTACCACAAATTCAAGAAAAATTATGTCAAAGCGGCAAAGTACTGGTTAAAAGCAGAAGAAATGGGGAACCCAGACGCATCATACAATCTTGGGGTCCTGTACTTGGATGGCGTTTTCCCAGGAGTTCCTGGGAAGAATCAGGTGAGTAAGACTTGAGACAAACTGGGCAGCTGGGCAGTCCCTCGTTCATGACGCCCCCAGTCCAGACAAGGCCCCATGGGTGGTACAGACACAATCCAACACACAGATCACGTTCTCGAGAGGCGAAAAGGTCCAGTTAGAAAGGTAGATAGTGAAGAGCAAAGGATGGCATTTAGCCAGGTACCAAGAGAGTGCTAATTTATCCAACCCGAACAGTTCTGGAAAGGGGAAACGTTGAAGACCAAAGCAGTCAGGAAGGCTTCCTGGAGGAGGAAGGCTTGAACTGATGAGAGAGGGGGAGATGACACAAGGTGAGAATGTGCAAGAAATCCAGAGACAGTGTAGAGATTGAAGAGAGCTGGAAGAGAGTTGGCTTCTGGTAGGGTGGCCTGATCTAACCAGTTTGGCTCAGTGGATAGAGCGTTGGCCTGTGGACTGAAAGGTCCCAGGTTCAATTCCGGTCAAGGGCATGTACCTTGGTTGTGGGCACATCCCCAGTGGGGGGTGTGCAGGAGGCAGCTGATCGATGTTTCTCTCTCATCGATGTTTCTAACTCTCTATCTCTCTCCCTTCCTCTCTGTAAAGAATCAATAAAATATATTTTTTTAAAAATAAATAAATAAAAATAATGAAAATGACAGTTATCATCTTTAGTGTTTGTTGAGCACTTCTTTGTGCCAGACACTCACAAAGGGTTTAAATGCGCAGTCCCATATCATCCTAACTACCTCTGAAATAGTTACTATTAAGTCCATTTTACAAAATAATCAACTAAGGCTCTGAAATGTATGTAACAGCATCATACACTTCTTGGATTCAGGACCTGGATTCCTATGTAACATGGAAGCCCCTCGTTATCCTATATAATAAAAGGCTAATATGCAAATTGACCAAACAACGGAACGACCAGTTGCTATGATGCACACTGACCATCAGGGGGCAGATGCTCAATGCAGGAGTTGCCCCCTGGTGGTCAGTGTGCTCCCACGGGGGAATGCTGCTCAGCCACAAGCCTGGCTGACGGCTGGCAAGCGCAGTGGCGGTGGCAGAGCCTCTCCTGCCTCTGCAGCAGTGCTAAGGATGTCCGACTGTGGGACATCCCCCAAGGGCTCCCGGACTGCTAAAGGGTGCAGACCGGACTGAGGGACCCTTCCCCCACACACACACACCCCAGTGCACAAATGTCATGCACTGGGCCTCTAGTTAATAATAATATTGATGATGATAATAATCATCTGAGTACCATTATATTTAACAAGGTTCATTAAACACCCACCCTGTGCCAGGTGCTCTTCCAGGCACGGGCATACAGCAGCAGACAGAACAGTCTCTGCTCTTAGGAAGTTTACACTGCATTGGGGGAGAAAGGCAATAGACTATTAAATATATAATATGAGGTTGTTATGAGGATAAATAAAGCAGGAGAAGGAGAACAGGGAGGGTGGAGGTTGGGAGATGTTATTTTATAGAGGAGATCAGAGAAGGTTTCTCTAATAATGTGACATTGGACAGGCTCCAAAAGGAATCTTGTGGATATCTGGGAGAACATTCCAGAAAGAGGGAACAGCCAGGGTAAAAGCTCTGAGAAGTTCCAGGAACAGCAGGGAGGCCAGAGTTGTAGAAGCAGAAGGCAGAGGAGATGGGGAGGTGGGAGATAGGTCCCGAAGGCAGATGCCCAGGTCATTATAATGACTCAGCTTCTCTGAGCAAGATGGGAAAGCACGGGACAGCTTTGACTTGGGCAGGATGTGCTGTTTTTAAAAGGCTCGATCCTAGCAGAGACTAAGCTTACAGGAGACAAGAGAGGGATCGGGGTTAAGCGTTGACTCCAAATGAGAAAGGATGGGCAATATCTCAAGAGGGGCTGCGATGTGACTGGATTCTGGATATATTTTGAAGGTCAAGGTATGGGATTCACTGATGATTGCATATGAGGTGTGAGAGGGAGAGGAGTCAGGACAACCCTGGAGCACTTGGCCTTTATTGAGCTGGAAAGAATGGAGGGGCCATTTATGGGATGGGCAGCAGCAGATCTGGGGGTGGGGAATCAGATGATTTTTCATGAAGCTCCGTGCTAATTCTGGAGAATTTGTTTTCACATTTAATCCTTACAACAACCTATCAGACACCACATTTTTTAAAATATGTGTATTTTTATTGATTTCAGAGGGGAAGGGAGAGGGAGAGAGAGAAACATCAATGATGAGAGAGAATCATTGATCAGCTGCCTCATGCATGCCCCACACTGGGGATGGAGCCCACAACCTGGGCAAATGCTGGAATCAGAAATCGAACCGTGACTTCCTGGTTCCTAGGTCGATGCTCAACCATTGAGCCATGCCCGCCTGGCAACACATTTTTTAGTTGAATAAAATCTCTGAGGTGGAGAGATTAATATACCCAAGGTCACTCGCTAGTAAGGAGCAGAACTGGGATTTGAACCCAAGCCTGTCTGACTCCAAAGCCCATGCTTAAAAATGTCAGCTCACTGCCTCAGGAAAATAATAGTAATTAGCGGAGCATATATCTAAGTGTTTTATTTTTTTCCTCTACCTCTCTCTGACTACATGTGAGGCTGTATATTTTTATGCATTGCAAGAATCCTCCCACACATCTGAGAGTGTGGGGTTTTTTATTGTCATTTTCTAATTCTCACTTTCCTCCTGGAAATGCAGTTTTTGTGCATGAGTTTGAAGAAAGGTCTTAAGCAAGGTTAGGAACGCAAATGCCTGAATTTTCGCCTGGTGTGACTTCTGGTACAGTCTTCTATCTTGTTGGCAGGGGTTATGTGAGGATCAAATGAGGTGACAATGACATTCCTAGTTACATGTTGTCGTCTTACTTCCTTGGCCAACCTCATCAACAGAATATCACTGGCTTCTGTGACTGGCTGTCTTACTTGACTTGGTTTCCTTAAAGATGTCAGAAGTGATAAGCCCGTGATAATACCTTGGCTCCCGTGAAATCAGCCCAGCCAGGGAGACTCCGCACCACGGAGACTAACGTTTGCTCATCTCTCTTCACAGACTTTAGCTGGAGAATATTTCCATAAGGCTGCGCAAGGCGGACACATCGAAGGAACCTTGTGGTGTTCTCTCTACTATATAACAGGCAACCTGGAGACGTTCCCTAGAGACCCCGAGAAGGCTGTTGTGTAAGAATCTAGCAGATGTTGGCTGTGAAGGGAAGGCTATCTACAGGAGTCCCCCCTTCTCCTTCAGAAATATGTCCACAACCCCCAGGTGGATGCCTGAAACTACAGATAGTACCAAGCCCTGTAGATACTGTGTGTGTTTTCCTACACTTACAGACCTTTTCTCTTAAAGGAAGCACATTACAGCTTCTCTTTGGCATATCTGATTTGCCAGCATCACGACTCTTGTGCTTTGGAGCCATTATTAAGGAAAATAAGGGTGACCTGAGCACAAGCACGGTGATCCTGCATTAGTCGATCTGATAACCGGACAGCTACTCAGTGACTGACAGGTGGGGAAGTGTCTACAGTGTGGAGACGCTGGACAAAGGGATGAGTCACATCCCGAGCAGGACAGAGTGGGATGGCTCGAGATTTCATCGTGATACTCAGAATGGCACACAATTCAAAACTATGAGTTGTTATTTCTGGAATTTTTATTTAATATTTTTGGACCATAGTTGGCCATAAGCAACTGAAACCTTGGAAAGTGAAACTGCAAATAGAGGGGACTGCAGTACTATATTCACTGTGCCTGGGAGAAGAGGTCCTCTTTTTTTTTTTTTTCTTTAAAAATTTCATTTTATTTTATTTTATTTAAATTTTATTGATTTTTTACAGAGAGAAAGGGAGAGGGATAGAGAGTTAGAAAAATCAATGAGAGAGAAACATCTGTCAGCTGCCTCCTGCACACCCCCTACTGGGGCTGTGCCCACAACCAAGGTACATGCCCTTGACCGGAATCGAACCTGGGACCCTTCAGTCCGCAGGTCAATGCTCTATCCACTGAGCCAAACCGGTCAGGGCAAAATTTTATTTTTATATTGGATTCCAGTCAAGATGGCAGAGTAGAAGGAAAAAATAAGACTTCTTAATAATAAAAAAGGAAAAAAACAATTTAATTTTTATCGGTTTAAAAACTGATAGAGTTCACATAGTTTAAAGTTCCAAATAATTTGACAAGACAAAAATAAAAAGAATTTAATAAAAAATAGAAAATAATTTGATAAGAAAAAACAACCAGAGGAAATCTCTGCCTATACCACACCAGACTTTTTTCTGCTCCCAAAAATAAATCACTTTTCATTTTCACATTTTTAACCATATTTTTTTGCCTCTACTGCTAAATAGCATGCATATCCCACTATTTCTTGTCATCTTCATTATAGACATTGTTTAATGATGTCTCACTGTGAAAGATGAAGATATAGTCCTCTCTCACTCTGCCACCTCGCTACCCCACACATTCCCACTTTTTATTTCTCTCCCATCTTCCCAATAAGTATGCCATTATTTTGGTTAGCTTAGTATCGGGGTTTACATTATTATGACTGTAAATGCTATTCACAGCTGAGCCATGTATATTCTATGACTACCTTTTCTTTCTTGCACAACTTCGTGTTTTCTATGGAGGAATAATTATATGTTATTGTTCTTTAGCTGCTTGACTTTCTGTGTACTTGTCATTTTCCATGTACTTGATCTCCCAATTCATCTACAGTTGTCTAAATCTCTTAGTCTGGCCACACCCACCAGGTAATAGTTTAATCTTGGTGATGTCTCTCCTGGAGTCTTTGTTCAGGCCACAGCTGCCCTCCCGAACTTGACTTTGTCATCCTTGTGGAGGATCCCTTTCTTCATCTCTGGCTTTCCAGTCCTCTTTGTTGAACCCTATTTCTTCCTCTTTCTTGGTTAACGCTTGCATTTTGGTAGAACACATCCTATAGAGGCTTCCTGAAGAACAGAGAATAGGAGGCCCATTTTTGATGTCATGCATATCTGATCATGTTTTACAGGGGCTGGCAAACGATGGCCCACACATAACATGTGGCCTGCCAAAGAGCTAAGAGCGCTTCCTACATTTTTAAAGGGTTGTAAAACAGACATGGAAAAATATGCAGCAGAGACCATAGGTGGCCCACAAAGCTTAAAATATTTACTGTCTTACCCTTTGTAGAAAAAGTGTGCAGACCTCTGCTGTAGATCACCCTCACTCTATAGTCCGGCTCTCCAGGAGGTGTCTTAAGGCATTTGAGAGCAAATCTACCTGAACTCAGTGATGATACTCACCTGAGACAGACTTGAAGCTTTTGTTATTGTTTGTTGGTTAGGATACTTATTGTGAGCATTTATATATTTCACAGACTTTTGTCATCCTTTTATTATTGATTTCTAGCTTAATCACATTGTGATTTGAGAGTATATTCTGAATGACTTCAATCCTTTGAAGAGTGTTGAGGCTTGCTTTATGACCAGCATATGGTCAATTTTGATGTATGTTTATCATCTCTTGAAAAGAGTGTGTTTTCTGAACTTGTCGGGTACAATGTTCTACATATATTATCAATTACGTCAGGTTGGCCCAATCTTCTATATGATTCCTGATGTGTGTGCTTTTCTGCTTGTTACAACAGTTACTGAAAGAAGTGTGTTAAAATCTCCCACTATGAGTGTACACTTGTCTGTTTCTCCTTTTAGTTTTGTCAATTTTGCACTAGATATGTTGAATAATATTATTGGGTCAAATAGAATGAGAATTGTTTTTCCTTTCTCGTTGACCCTTTTATCATTTTACAGTGTCCTCTTTATCTCTGTTGGTGGTCCTTGTCTGTAAAGTCTACTGTTTTTATGTTAATATAGTTATATGTGCTTTTTTGTTGTTAAAATTTGCATACTCTATTTTTTTCTACCCCTTTACTTTCAGTATTTCTTTGTTCTTATTTTATCTATGTCTCTTGAAAGTGGCATGTAATTGTTTTTTTGTGTATTTTTTAGTCAGTTTGACAATTTTAGTATTCAATTGGTGTATTTAGACCACTTACATTTAATTGGGATATATTTGATTTTAACTCTGCCAGTTTACCATCTATTCCTTATTGTTACATCTGTTTTTGTGCCTTTTTTCTCTTTTCTTGCCCTTCCTTTATGTTAATGAATTGTTTGTTTGTTTGTTTGTTTATTTATTTATTTATTTATTTTGGTTAATCCTCACCTGAGGATATCTTTCCATTGATTTTTTAGAGAGAGTAGGAGGGCGGGGGAGAGACAGAAAGAAACATCGATATGAGAGAGACACCTCTATTGGTTGCCTTCTGCACACAACCCGACCAGGGCCAGGGCACCTGCAACCAAGGTACGTGCCTTTGACCGGAATTGAACCCAGGACCCTTTAGTCCGCGGGCCAACGTTCTATCTACTGAGCCAAACCGGGTAGGGCTAAATCAAATATTTTTTTTAAAAGCATTCCATATCCCCATTTCATTAACTTGTTAGTTATGTATTCTTTAAATATTCTTTTAGTGGTTGTAGATCTAAAGATTGCAATATGCTAGTTCATTAATGATAAACCCCCTTGAGGATAAATTAGGGAGCAGAAACAAAATAGGGAAACCTTATAATAAATCAGTAAAAATGTTTTAATGAAGTACTAGAACTTTCAGTAAAGATGATCTTTTCGAAGGTGAAGGGATATTAAGAAGTACAAATTGGTAGCCATGGGAATGTAAAGTACAGCATAGGGAATATAATCAATAATGTTGTAATAATTATGTGCAATGCTAGGTAGGTACTTGAAATATCAGGGGACTACTTTGTAAAGTTTATGAGTGTCTAACCCTTATGCTGTACACCTGAAACTATGACAAAATATTGAATGTCAACTGTAATTTAAAAATAAAATTAGCCCTAACTGGTTTGGCTCAGTGGATAGAGCATCAGCCTGCGGACTGAAGGGTCCCAGGTTCGATTCCGGTCAAGGGCATATACCTGGTTGTGGGAACATCCCCGGTAGGGGGTGTGTAGGAGGCAGCTGATTGAGGTTTCTCTCTCTTTGATGTTTCTAATTCTCTATCCCTCTTCCTTCCACTCTGTAAAAAAATCAATAAAATATATTTAAAAAAATAAAAATAAAAAAATAGATAAATAAAATTAGCTCTGCTGGTGTGGCTCAGAGGTTGAGTGACGACCTATGAACCAGGAGGTTATGGTTCAATTCTGGTCAGGGCACATGCCCAGATATTGGGCTCAATCCCCAATATCTATGCCTTGGGGTAGGTAGCGTGCAGGAGGCAGCCAATTAGTGATTCTCATCATTGATGTTTCTCTCTCCCTTCCTCTTTGAAATCAATAAAAATATTTTAAAAATGAAAATAAATAAAAAATTTTAAAATACCCAAACAGTGTTATAAATCCCCATTCTAAAATAAAGGTAGAAGAAAAGTATTATTGATTAATTACCATACAGATGCCAAAACAAAGAGTCTCTTTCCCTATAGTGGTGGATATTGTTTATTAGGAACCTTTCCTGTCTTTATTTCCATAAACCACAACGCCTCAGCATTGCTAAGAAAGGGCCCTGGTTGCAAAGCTCTCAAAAATGTTTCTCTCTTTACCTGCTTAACATTCAGTTCTGGTTTGTTGCTCTGTAAAAATTCTAAAAAACAAAATATTCCCCAAGTGGGATTTATTGTGATCATATGAAGAAAGAAGCAATTATTTAATTTGCCACAGTTTGGATATTTTTCTCTTCCCTTTCCTTTTCAGGTGGGCAAAGCACATCGCTGAGAAAAATGGCTACCTGGGCCACGTCATTCGGAAAGGCCTCAACGCCTACCTGGAGGGCTCATGGTAAGCTTGGGACCCACGTGACCGTGAACTTCCTCGGCCCTTACCTTTCAATCTATGAGATGGAGCTTAAAATGCAACCAAGAAAAGCAATTTGCAGGGAAATCACGGCCTCTCAGTAATCCTATTCGGAGTATCACAGACTGATTGGCTGTTGATTGGAAAACATAGCATTTCCATGTTTAATTATACACAAAAATTAGTTCTCTAGGGGGAGCATGCACATTCATCAAGTTGAAAGACACATGAATGTGTTGACTTCTTCCCCTCGAGCTTGTTTCTCTTGGTTTTAGAATCTAAACACAGCGCGGGGTATCTTGGCTGACCCTCTGCTTCTCGCTGGCAGGTCACAGGAGGTCCGGGATTCCCACCTTGTTTGTGGGAAGCCGAGAATTGGGGCTCAGGCTACATCCTTCCATAGCTTGTAGTGCATCTTCCGTGGCCAGGAGCCTGGGGTTGCAGGAAGTCACTCACAAGACCTCTAATGTCACAGCCACATAGGCTCCCCTTTTGGCTGTGACATTAGAGGTAGCAGATGCAGAACCCCCATGACACCGCACAGGAGGACTGCGAATTCCCCCCATTTGCTGTTACTTGATTTCACAAAGAAGGGCACACCTCTCCAAATGCTACCTGACTTCATCTTTTTCCCTCTGTCAGTTCTAGCGCTCCGTCTTACTTTTCCCTCGGGCTACATTTTCTTGGCTGGTTTATTGCCTAAATGATCTGGGTATTTCAGTAATAACTGAAAAGGCTATGCAAATCAGCACATATCCCTTCGGAACACTGCCTCAGAGACATTAGACCAGACTTACCATCGATCATTCTCTGATCCGAACCTTAATTAAAAATTTAAATATGAGTCCAAAAGAACACTATTTTCTCCTTTGGTCCATGGGTGCCCACGTAATCAAAAGATAGCATCTCGGTAATGGAGAATCTTAAATTAGATAATGCAGGGGAAATGAACCCAATGGAAAAAAGCACCAAATAGCAATGTTTATTATGAACTCCCGTGAAAGTTTATTATATGTGGCCTCACTTTGCACAGTAGGAAAGAAGTTTTATGAAGTTATTATTTTCTAATTGATATGTCTTACAGTTTTCATCTTGCAAAACTCCCAAATTTGGCTTTAGCTCCTTCTCTACAATCACCCTCTAAACTTCCCACCCTTGCTCCTCACAAACTTCTTAGGGGGAACTAAGCACTGAAATATCAAAGTGTTTATATGTGGGGCATTCCCAAAGGAAAAGCACGTCTGTCCCCACAACACACACACACACACACACACACACACACACACACACACACACACCAAAATGTCTGCCACCTTTCCCATAAAGAGAGGATAGGTCAGTAGCTAGGCTTTTTTTTTTTTTTTTTTTTTTTTTTTTTTTTTTTTTGCCTATTTTTGAATTTAGCATCCCTTTAACATTTAAAAATTTCCAGTGAAAGTCAAGAAGAATTAAGATTTGTGTGGCCTGCTGTCTTTCCTACCTAGACTATTCAGCCACAGAGATTGATTTTTTTTTTTTTCCTGATGGAGGGGATGGGGGGAATTAAGTGTGCTCTACACTATCTGTGTGTTTGCATTCAGTTCATCAAACTTGACTGAGTCCACTCGCCTGCGGGGCACCTTACCATGAGCTTCAGGGATGTCACCAAGAAGGGCTTGGGGGAGTTTGCTGCCTCAGCCCTTCCTCATGCTGAACTACCTGCAGTTTCTCGCATGGCCGTTGTTCTGTCTGACATCTGGGCCTTTGCACGGGCCCCAGAGTCTTACCAACTTCTTACTCGCTTGGGTCCTCCCAGGGATCATGATTGCCCTTTACTTTGATTGCCCTCTGACTTGTATCCCAGCTCTCAGCACCTAGTGGCACCTGTGAAGTGCTCAGAAACTATTGAGTGAGTGAACTAAGGCAAGTAGAACAAATATAACTTAAGCGCCATGAGCCGTATCTGAAGAACATTGGGGATTCTGAGGAGGAAGAGATGCTACCTGGTTTGGGGGACTTAGGCCAACCTTTATAATGGAGGCCTTGAGGGATGGTCACATGTCCACTGAGCCCTGCAGGGAACAGCATTTCTTGTGAAGGGAATCGCAGGAACAAAAGCAAAGAGATAGGAAAATTCTGGGAGTCTCTAGAAAACTTTAAGCCACCCAGTTTGCCCTGAGGGTAAGATTTGTACAGGGAGTGATATACAATGAGACCAAAGAGGTGCTACTTTGTGGAAGTTTGAATGGAAGGTTATGTACTTTCTACTTAATTTGTGGAGCAGCAGGGAGCCTTGATGGTTTGGAGAGAAGGTTGTGATGTGACAGCTGGACTGTGAGATGCTTCACCAAACAGCTGTAAATAATGGTGAAGCGAAGGAAGATTCAGAAAGAGTTCTGGTGGAAGGCACTGATCATTGGAGTTAGAGAAGTGGCATGAGCCAGTTGAGTTGTTTTTCTCTTCTTTTGTGATCTGAGTTGATACAAACAAAATAATGTGTGATGTATATGTAAGTTCCAACAATAAAACGAGCACCTGTAAACCTCCCACCTACTTAAGGAAATGAACTGTTTAAGCTCCTGCATTGCATGTCCCTCTCAGATTAAACCCACCCCCAGCCCCAGTACCCAGAAGGAACCATCATCCTGAATCTTGCTCTCTTTATAGTTTTTTTTGCTCAACATGGGTATATCCCTAAGCAATAGATTTAGTTTGACTTGATTCTGAGCTTTCTGTCATTAGAATATTATTATACATGAATCTTTAACTGCTCCTTGTCACTTAACATTGTTTCTGAAATTCATATATTTGGATGCATGTCCCTGTAGGTCGTTCCTTTTCGCTGCTATCATATACCACAATTTACTCACCAATTCTCCTATTAACACGTATTTGGGTTGTTTCCATTTTTTTGTTTTAAGAACAATGCAGCCATGAACATGTTTTATATATCTCCTGACCCATATAGGAAGAGTTTTTCTAGAATATAAACTTAGGAGTAGGGTCACAAAACAATGCTATTTGTTTTCTAAAATAATTTTATCAATAGACTCTCCTGCCGATTGTCAGTATCCTTGCCAATCTTGATGCTGGTACTAAAATATTACAAACGATAAATCTCCATCTGAATTTGAGGCCTTTTCCTAGCTACAAGAAGAAACATCTACTACCCATGACAGTGGGAAATTTTTGTCAAAATCTATTTGACAAAGAGTGCTTTCATCTCTCTGAGTCCCCAAACTTGCCCTGCGAGCTAAATAGGAAATATAAGACCATGACCTCCCCACAGCATGGCCTTTTCTGGTACCATCTATTTTGCCATCACAGAACTAAACCATCCATCAATGTCCTGAGTCCATCCCCTTCTTACGTTTTCTGTGAGTGAATTTATTCTGGAGTTATTTCAGATTACTATGTAGGTTTGATGAGCTTGTGCTTTTCTGTGTTGCTCCAAGATTTCTATGGGATAGCTTAAAAGAGGAGGGGGTTGGAGAAAAGGGCTTTTTTCTGTATATGCATAATGCAGAAGATAATGTTGTCGTGCCTGAGGCTGTCCTTGGACACCAGGAGGAATCAGCAAAGGAGAGGCCGGCTGTCATGTTTCGTTTCTCTCTGTCTTACCTCTGCGTGTGTTTTATCTGTGGACTATGTATCTCATTGTCCTTTGTCTTAAATACACCCCCAATACTTAACCCGATTATGGTGGGCTTGAGGCAAGACAAGTAGGCATGCTAGGTTCCAGTCCAGAGACTCACCTGTTGCCCTGGCTGGTTTGGCTCAATGGATAAAGTATAAGCCTGACTGAAGGGTCCCTGGTTCGATTCTGGTCAAGGGCACATGCCCAGGTTGTGGTCTCGATCCCCAGTGGAGAGCGTGCAGGAGGCAGCCGATCAATGATTCTCTCTCATCATTGATGTTTCTATCTGTCTCTCCCTCTCCCTTTCTCTCTGAAATCAATAAAAATATGTTATTTTTTAAAAGAGAGACTCACCTTTCGGCAATAGAGCAGGGGCCCTGAAATCCACTGAGACCCCAGGATTGTTTTTCACCCTTCCAGTTGGAGCTGCTTCAGGCATCATTAGCAAGGAGCACAGGGAAAATAATGTAATTGTTTGAGAAGCTGCTCAGAGGTCTTCCGATTCACTGTTCACAGCCAGCAGCCCAAGGAGTGGTTACGAAGCATCATTAGGAAAGTTCTATAAATGTAGACGCTGGCTTTGAAGCGGGAGGGTAGCAGATGTGCCCCAGCCTCGTTCTTTACTCTAAACGTCCTCCTCTCTGCATCCACCCCACCTCCCCATTACAATGACTGTCTGGGAGACAGTTTCACTTGAGTGCGTTGGAAATCAAACTCGGAGCTCTGGCTGGCTTCCTAAACCCTGAGGAAATTTCTGGAAGGGCAGTACGGTCTTGTGGCTTGTTTGGGGGCTTCCTGCACATAGCAAATGCCGAGGGCATGCTTATTCCAACAATATGAGTATAGAAGTATCTGTAATCAATGCTTTCAGGCAGTTTCTGTTGAAACACAAGCAAGAGCCCAATGCCGGGAGGGAGAGTGAATGTGGACAGGGTTTCTGCAGAGGTGGTGTGTCTCGGAAGTCTGAGTAAGCGAGGAAATCTGGTCTCCCGTGTGCTAACCCTCGCCTCCAGCTCACTCCTCGGTATATGAGAATAGATGGAGGTGGAGTCAGGGTGCGCCGGCCTCTGCTGATTGCTTCTGCAAGATGGAAGACAGAGGTGGATTTCTGCCCAGCACTTCTATTGACCTCGCTGTTTCCTGACGCCTTTTTCTGATGGATCACAGCGCTTCTTCAAAGGAAATGCGCGAGGGTTCTATGAAATTTCCTCCCGGCTTATACAATAATTGGACAGTGAACGTCTCTCTATAAAACTTGTTTCTCCCATCCCTCCACCACCGCACGAGAGACTGTCTTTGTAAAGTTTATCATGGCGACTCTGTCTTATGGGAGTGTTGGCCTCGTGCCCCCCACCCTCACTGCAAATTCTAATAGTTTATACCCGACTGCTGTCTAAGAAAAACTCATTTTGTTACAGGTTAATAACATGAGTCACATTCCGTGCGGCCACAGCAGCAGAGGGAGCCGGCTCAGTATTAGCGTGTGGGCTGGCAAGGGTACACCATCTCGTCCCCTCGCTCATCCCTGGGGAAACCGAGGCACAGGTGCAAGCCCAAGTGTCTCAGGAGACACTTGAGGTCGTCAGACCTTTGGAACAGGACCTTACTGCAGAATGACGGGGACTTGATGCTGGGTCTGACTTGAGGATTCTGGTCACCAAACATGATTTTTGTAATCCGTGTAAGAAAACGCCTGTGCAGCCCAAGCTGGTTTGGCTCAGTGGATAAAGGGTCACCCTGGGGACTGAAGGGTCCCAGGTTCGATTCCGGTGGGCTCAGTCCCCAGTAGGGGGCGTGCAGGAGGCATCTGATCAATGATTCTCTCTCATCATTGATGTCTCTATCTCTCTCCCCCTCCCTTCCTCTCTGAAATCAATAAAAAAGAAAAAGAAAACACCTGTGCATTTTTCGAGGTGTTGTTTCGGCTCCAGTCGTGGGCTTGTTAGCTGACCTGCCTATGCAGGGGACACGGCTTAGCCAGCTTCATGTCTCTTTAGAATGAGTCATGGCTAATTGGTCGGCTGCCTTGGGTGTCTTGGAGATGGAGAATCAGCTCACTCAGCAGCCACGTGGCCCATGACCTACAGCATGTCTGATTGAAGATCCGCTGTGCTAACTTGACTCCCAGTCACCTCTCTCTGTCCCCGAGGGATGGTCTGCCAAAGCTGCTCTAACGATGTAGAAAAGGTGATCTCAGAATCTGCCTCCCTTAGTCTCCCTAACCCAACTGTCCCCTACCCTTCCTAAACCCACTTCCTAGGAGGAGTGACAGTCGAGGGAGAGTTCTCCGTGTCAGCTACTTAATATGAAAAAGATGCTTTCGAAATAACTTTTATGGTTAAAATAAATTTTTATTCATAAACTGGGTGACACTAAGAAAATGGAGGATATCAGATAAGTCAAAAGTAAAGAATAAAAATGACTTGCATTCTCACCACCTAGAGATAAGCACTGTTAGCTTTTTGGTAGATAATTTTTATGGTTTAGTTTTCTGGGCATATGTGTATCTCCGTGTGTGTGTGTGTGTGTGTGTGTGTGTGTGTGTGTGTATGTGTGTATTCGGTTTTATTCCAAAAATGGAATTGCATTGGTTTTTATCCTGGCTCTTTTTTTCACTGAACAGATAATTTTGCATAGACATCTTTCCACATTTTTGGATATGTATTCTTTCACATCATTTTTCATGGCCTCATCCGAAAGTGGCTGTACCAAGGGTTAATTTTTTAAAAATATATATTTTTATTGATTTCAGAGAGGAAGGGAGAAGGAGAGAGAGATAGAAACATTAATGATGAGAGAGAATCACTGATGGACTGCCTCCTGCACAGCCCATACCGGGGATTGAGCCCGCAATCTGCACATGTGCCCTGACCTGGAATCAAACCATGACCTCTTGGTTCATAGGTCAATGCTCAACCACTGAGCCATGCTGGCCAGGCCGTGGGTTAATTTAAATAGTCACTGATTTTCAGATATTTAAGTTCTTACTATTTTTTTTACAATTTTCTAACATAGCAAAAGCTCTGCCATAAACTCTCTTGCCCCAGAATCTTTGCACGTCTCTGATTTGTTTTTTTAGAATGAACCCCCACAGGGAGAACTGTTGGGCAAGTGGCCTGTGCATTCTTAGGGCTTCCCACCATCAACACATTGATTGGCCCTCCCACTAGCAGTGGTTGTGGGAATATGTCCATTTCCCCGACCCCCCTGCCCTTAACTGGTATTACGAATCGTATGGCAACCTTTCCACAGACAAGGAGTGGTCTCATTGTTTTACAATTATTCAGCTCCTAGTGGTGTCGAACTGTCATTTAATTATATGTGTTTCTGGCCATTGCTATCAACACTCTTGTAAGCTACATCTCCTTTGCCAGACGTCTAACGCTCCACAAAAGCCCAGCTTTAATTAAGCTTGTTCAGAATCCTAAGCCCCATAAAGCCTTTCACAAAACAGAGGACTCACAGGACTTTGTTTTAATACCACCCTCTCCTCAAAGCAAGGAAGGATTCAGGGACCTGGGGCTGTTCGACACGCCATTCGGCCAGTAGAGGTAGCTGTTGCATTAACTAGCTCCCAACCTCATCTGCCAGTTCAGCCTTTAAGACAGAAAATAAATCAGTGCATGCAGTATTTTTGACAACAGTATTTATTTTTTTTTAAAAAAAACACCCAACAAACTCATGGTTTTGTGCTTTAAAAAGAAAACTGCTTATTTTGTGCCCTTATGTTTGAATATCGAGCTCTCTGTGAATATTAGTAAGAGCCACTACATGAAATTTATTATTAATCGTCTATTTTTAGGCACGAAGCTTTGCTGTATTATGTTTTAGCAGCAGAAACTGGTATTGAAGTGTCACAGACAAATTTAGCACACATCTGTGAGGAGAGGCCGGTGAGTAAATGTGTTCTCTGAGTAGAAGCTCTAAGGTTAAGGATGATGGATGGGGGTTTTAGGGAGGCAAAATTAGTCACTCGGCCAAAATATTAATGAATTAACTTTTTCTCCCCCTTCGTTCCCTTAGGACCTGGCCAAGAGATATTTGGGTGTTAACTGTGTTTGGAGATACTATAATTTCTCTGTTTTTCAAATCGATGCTCCTTCATTTGGTATGTATAGAAAAACGGGTACTAAATTGAAGCCATGGAGGCTTTTAAACCTTAGTAACAGGAAACATCTAAGGGATTTGTGTGCAGTGTGTTATTTCTAAACAATTAGGAGAGAGTGCAAAGTCTCTGCTATTAAGATCATGACTGAAGTCTGCTCTCAGCCTCATGCAACGTTTGTCTCCCGGCCCGCTGTCCAAAAGAGAAAGCTCTTATGGACACGGTCTGAGCCAGTGATGGGTTCCCTGCCTTCTTCTGCTCTGTATGGGAGGGGGCTACCCCTGGGAACTGCAGTTCCTAGACTCCTTTGCTGTGGGGCTTCTGACTAGTGTCAGCCAATGGGAGGCTGTGGCGGAGCCCAAGTATTTCTCTCCTCTCTCCACTTTGGGCTGTTCTCTGGCAGTGGCTGCATTCCCATGGTCCCAGCAGACCCTTAGCACAGGGATGGGAGTAGCTTCCTGCATTGCTGACGTTTGGGTTGCCATTTGCCTTTTCAGCTCTCCCAACACCCTGGTGAGCAGCCCTTCCCAGTGTTGAAATCCCTCTTTTGAATGACCTGACGTCGATTCTATTTTCCTGAGTGAGACATGCATTCTTAAACAAAACTTTTTCCTTGGAGGAAAAATAAAGCATACGCTTGAATAAAGAAATACCGTTTAGTCATCAAACCCAGGCAGCAAAATTTCAGAGGGGAAATAAAGCGCTCCCCCACCCCCAGTCCTTGGCTGACTGGGCTGCGATTCTCACAAATAGATCTATTCAGGAGGGCTACCAAGCAAAGCAGGTAATGTAGAAATGTGGGTGCTCAGCAGAAAAACGGTGTGTGTGTCTTTTCTACTGACACATGAAAAACACACACACACACACACACACACACACACACCCTGACCATGTTCGTGGTAGGAGTCCGATAGGAAAAACTCTCCATCGTGGAAATGGGCCGATCATTTAAGATGTCCGTCTGAAATAAAACCCCTCGACCAACACGTCGGTGCTTTTCGCCCCACAGCCTATTTGAAAATGGGAGACCTTTACTACTATGGCCACCAAAACCAGTCACAAGACCTGGAGCTGTCAGTGCAGATGTACGCCCAAGCGGCACTGGATGGGGACTCGCAGGTAAACAGCAGCAACGGAAATGAGTTCTTGGTGGTGCCCATTCGTGAGGTCGCAGAGCCTGGAGTTCTCACCAGCCCTCTGTCTATAGAAGCTTCGCAGATGGCAAAGTCATTTCCCCCCATTTTCACAAGTCGCTCCCAAAGGCCCTGCGAGGACACTAACCATGTGGCAAGCCTTTACTGAGCGCCTGCTGCATTTCCCACACCGTCCTCACAGCCACCTCGTGGGGTGCGGATTACTAGACCTTTCTATAGTAGAGGACACCAAGGCTCTGACAAGGGGGTATATTGCTGAAGGCCAAGCCGTCAGGTCGTCAGTGAGGCAGCCAGAGCTTCAACCCAGGTCTTCTGGCTCCAAAGCCGGGGGTCCGCCTACCAGATTCCATCAAACTAACTCTCCAGGTAGAACCTCGAGAAACTGGAAGTGTGGTTCAGGTGGAAGTGGTTTGCTTGTGTCGCTGGGCCAACACTCCAGCAATAGGACTTTGCTCTCAGTGACTTGTTTTAAACTTATTTTGAAATTTTTTAGATGTATAGAAAGAGGACAAGGGAGTTGCTGTGTACCCTTCGTCCAGCTTCTGTTAATCGATATATCTTTCATGACCACAACACTGTTATCAAACCAAGAACTCCACCTTGGTTTTGCTCCATAAAGTACTCTTCAGACTTTCTTTTCATCTCACTGGTTTTTGCATGAATGTCCTTTTTCCATTCCAGGATGCCACCTAGCATTTAGTTGTCATATTTCTTTAGTGTTCTTCAAATCTGTAGCAGTTCCTCACTCTTTCTTTGTTTTTCATGACCTTGATACTTTTGAAGAATATTCATCAGTCAAGTATTTGGTAGAATGTCCCTCAATTTGGGTCTGGCTTCTGTTTTCTCATGAAGAGATTCAGATTATGCATTTGGGGCAAGGACAGCACAGAAGTGATGTGTCCTTCTCACTGTATCCTATGCGGCATACATGATGTCTTATTGCTGGTGAGGTTGATCTGAGTGACTTGGTTAAGGTGGTTTCTGCTGGGTTTCTCCCCTGTAAAGCTAATGTTTTTCTCTTTCTAATGTATAGATATCTTGGGGAGAGAGTTTGCGACTATGCACATATCCTATTTCTCCTCAAATTGGTACTTACTAATTTTAGTATCCTTCCATACATCTTGCAACAATGATTACTGTGTGTGCTAATGAAGAGTCTATTCTCTCATTCCTCCTACATTTGCTAATCAGGGTCATTTGCACAATGGAAGTTGGAATAGTTGTTGCCCTCTCAGGCAACAGGTTTCTGGTGTTGTGCTTTGGAATTTGATCTTTTATTTTCATTAGAATAATTTCTTTGAGGGATAGGATTGCTAAGTCAAACAATCTAAATGGTTTTACAGCTACCTATAATAGTCTATTGCCGATTTACTTTCTGAAAGGGTTTTCCAATTAATATATCACCAAGCAGTGGTGAAGGGTAGAAGGGTAACTGAAATCTTGTCTGCACTGGAGGTTTTCATGACTTAATTTTGCTAACTGAATAGTTTCCAGTTGATACTTCTTTATTGTTTTAAATTGCATTTATTTGGTTACCAGTGGGGAGGGACACTTTTATATATACTTGTGTATGATAATTTACTCTTCATATTTTAATGTGAATTCTCTATGCTCGTTCTTTGCCTGTGTTTATTGAAGTTTTGACACCTTTGAAAATTTAAATTATTGTTTTTTATACATTTGCCTCATAGATAATGAATCTTAAGTTATTACATTGCATATAAATATTCCTCTAGCCTATTTTCCCATTTATTCTAATCTTGTTATGTTTCCATTCTTCAGGGACTTTAAATTTTTATAGGTAATTTTTTTTTTCTTTTCTTTTAATGCGTTGTTTTAAGAGCACCTTCCTTTCAAAGTGCAACGAACTATTGTATTTTCTGTGTGTGTGTGTGTGTGTGTGTGTGTGCATCTTAAAGATACTTAACACTTCCATCTATTTAGAGGTTATTTGACAACATGAAGCTTAAGATTGGAGACTCTGGACCCTGTCTGTTCCTGTTTGAATCCCAGCTCTGCCCCTTTCTAGCTGTGTGACCCTGGGCAAATTCCTTAACCTCTCTGTGCCTTCGTTGCTTCATCTATGACATGAGGAGGATAATAGTACCTATCTCAATTTGTTGCTATGAGATTAAGTAAATAGATATAAAACAGAACAATGCCTCGCATAGAGCAAGCACTCAGAAAATGCTAGCTGCTGATATTTTTATCGTGGTTATTGCATAGGATGCTTGTGGGAGTCCTGGTCATACACCCAGGCGGATGATGATTTTCATTGAGATTGTTGTCAGTGGCAACTGAAAGGAAAGGCCAAAAGGAGACTATGTCATTAAAACATGACCACAAATTCTTTGAAGGGCAGCAAAGCGGTGAAGTTTGTAAAGCCCTAATGCTAAGTAAGGCCGTCTTTTGTTTATTTCTTGGTCTGACCGCATGCCCGGCTCATGATGGACAGTGTGTCGCCTCCCGGTAGTATAACAGCTCCCATCCTTGATGAAGGACCTCTACCATCAGGTTCTTAACTATGTTATTTCCTTGGACCTGCACAGCCAATGAGGCAGATCCTGCCTCTGAGGGTCAAGAACAAGGTGTATAATAAGGAAGGCGTGGGGAAATGTACCACAGTGGAGGCCTGTGCCAAGAGGAGTCATGAGAGGAGGTTTTCCACACTGGGAAAGCCAGGGAAGCTGAAACAAACACTGTCCGTTATTCTGTGCATCAGAGCGCCTCCCTACATGAGACTGTCAGTCATCAGTAGCATCCCCAGCCACAACAACGTTTTGTTAGGTCTCTGACATGCTGATGGGGACCCCGGGCATACTTGTAAGTGAGGGACATGGCCTTCGCCTCAGCGCTCCGGTTCTGCCGGTGACACAAGAGCGCATTTTCCCAGGAGCTCTGATTTGAGAGAATGAGCAGGAAAGGGCAGGTCCCCGGTTGGCTGGCTTCTGAGCAGATGGGACCCAGCATCCTCTGAAAGCCTCCTGGTTCTCCTGCAAATAAATTTCTCAGATGCATGTATTTAGGGAAACCATTCATCAATGAAGATGACAAAGCCATCTGGCTCTGGGGACTGGGGAAAAAAAATCTAGAGGTTGTAAAAGTTTACATTCCGATGAAGGGTGTGTGTCTGGGTTTTATTATGAGAAGCTGATGAGGTTGGTTTGTGGCTTGTTTTCAGGGGTTTTTTAACCTGGCCCTGCTCATTGAGGAAGGTGCTATAATCCCACATCACATTTTGGATTTCTTGGAAATTGACCCAACTCTCCATGCGAATAACATCTCCATCCTCCAGGAACTATACGAAAGGTGAGTTCAGAGCCTCTTTAATTCTGTGGAATCTGGAGGGACCCAGTGGATGCTGTTGGCTTCTTGGTTCAAGTTAGCCTGACTCTTACTTTGTAGCGTTTCTTGCTCTGAAAGGGCTCAGGATTTGTTTTGATTTGAGAACCTTCAGCTGGACCCAAACTTACTTCCGTCTTCTAGTTTCTGAGGCTTGAGATACAGAATGAGCATGATCTGAAGTTAAGGTGCTACCAAGGTTTTCCACAAGAGTGGGGAAAAATAACGTGTCCGATTAGACCATTTCTGCACGACAGGGCGGCATTCTGGTGTCTGGATGCAAAAAGACCTGGTGTCTGGACAGAAGTGTTGTCCCAGCAGCCCCTCCTGTTTTCAGGGACCTCCTTGACCCGTTAGCTTTTTATTAAGTGACCTTCTACTGAGATTTCTGGCAGGATCCTAGAATTTTAGGGCAGGCCTCAACCCCTCAGAACTGCCTTTCTTCCTTTGCCTCTCACCTCAAGTGTGCCTGCTTGTCCCAAGCAGAAGGAGGTGGGTTTGAGGGACTGAAAATACCCATCGTGAGTAATGCCACCAAAGTTTGGCTGACACTTCAGGGTGCCCTCTGCTTTGTGTCTGCAGGTGCTGGAGCCACAGTAGTGAGGAGTCCCTGAGCCCCTGCTCCCTGGCCTGGCTCTACCTTCACTTCCGGCTCATCTGGGGTGCTGTCCTGCACTCTGCCCTGGTAGGTACCCTCTCCCGCTGGCCCTACCCTCATGGTCCCTGCCCCTGTCAGTCATCTGATGCCTATTTCTGGTGTTTGTAGATCTATTTCCTGGGAACCTTCCTGCTGTCTGTGTTGATCGCCTGGACCCTGCAGTATTTCCAGTCTGTCTCAGGTAAGGCTTTCTCAAAGGCCAGGGCAATATAAAAACACTAGAGGCCCGGTGTACGAATTTGTGCATGGGTGGGGTCTGGCCGCCCTGCCCTGATGGGGGCCAATTGGGTTAGGCAGGCAGGGGGAGAGGCCGCAGGAGGTTGGCTGGCTGGCCCCGCCCCCAATCCAGCTGGGACCAGCAGGGGTAGGGGCCGCACCCCAATCAGGCCGGTTGGTTGGCCATAGTGCGCATCATAGCGACTTGTACTGGTCATTCTGGTCATTCCGGCATTCCGGTTGCTTGGCTTTTATATGTATAGATAGCAATTCTTTTCCTTACTAGAAAAGTCACCCTCTCCCTCCTCCTGCCCTTGACCATGCTATTTCCTTTTGTTAGGAGGGTGGGGTTGGGGGTCCTCCAAGGGGTATAGCATAATGCCTGGCTGATGGAAAACCCCAATTACTATTACATTTTTCAAAGTAAGCAGAACTCTTTTAATAAGAAGCTTAAGAATTGAACTGAAATGTCTTCCCGCATTGAAAATATCTGCTAGCAAAATTCTACCTCTGTGTGCCTTAAAACCCAGGCCAGAGGCCCCTCCAGCATAAACGCTTAGCCTGTTTATCCCAGTCCAAGGAGAGCGAGTCAGATAGGATGACAAACAAGCATCCGTGATGAATAAAAATACCCAGCCACTGCCGAAACCGGTTTGGCTCAGTGGATAGAGCGTCGGCCTGCGGACTGAAAGGTCCCAGGTTCGATTCCGGTTAAGGGCATGTACCTGGGTTGCGGGCACATCCCCAGTGGGAGATGTGCAGGAGGCAGCTGATCGATGTTTCTCTCTCATCGATGTTTCTAACTCTCTATCTCTCTCCCTTCCTCTCTGTAAAAAATCAATAAAATATATTAAAAAAAAAAAAATACCCAGCCACTGCCCAGGAGGTGTGGCTCAGTGGTTAAGTCAGGGCACATGCCTAGGTTTCGAGCTCAATCTCCAGGTGGGGGCATGCAGAAAGCAGCCAATCAATGATTCTCTCTCATCATTATGTTTCTCTCTCTCCCTCTCCCTTCCTCTATGAAATCAATAAAAATATATTATTTTTTAAAAAAATAATCCCAGCCACGTGGATTTGGAGGGAGGGTCTGAAGAGGAATGCAAAGTGCACATTTATTTTTGTGTGGTTTCCACAAGTTGCTATTATTTTTCTGTGCTAGTGCAGGGCAGTAGTTAAGGAAATGGACGCCTCTGTCTTTCTCTGTGAGCTTAGAGTCCAGACTTGGCTACTTATTAGCCGTGTGACTTACGGCGAGTTATTTCACCTTCTTGATCCTCCAATGCCTTGTCAATAAAATGAGGTTATAATAGTAGCTATGTCCCAGGGATGTTAAAAGGGTTCAGTGAAAAAATATATATATGACACTTACCAAAAGACAACTGTAGTTAAATCTTAGCTGTTATACTTACCTAGCTTATAAAACCCTCTCCGTAAATATTAGCTGTTACGTTTATCTCCCCTGTTGGGTCATAAACCGAGCTGGAGGAAGGTCTGTCATTTGTGGTCTCACACTTAGTAGGTGCTCAAGTTTGCTAATGTCCCTCGTGGAGGATTATAGTTTCCCGCCATCTCGGGTGGTTTCAAAGGACATGATTGCTCATGAAGACTAACGGGAACGTTTACAAAGGGACACGTTAGGACTGGACGTGGCATTTGAGCCTTTGCGTAGCCATTATTTATGTCACAGATAATGAAAAGCAAAAAAAGCACATTTCCCCTCCGACTCTATGGGGAGACAAAAGTCACTGTTACAAAAGGCTTCTTGTAAAATACGGAATCATTTCCCTCTGACTTACCTGACGAGGTTAACAGAGAACCAGCAAGAGCCCTCCCAGCTTTGATGCCTTGTGGTGTTCCGGCTTATAAATTTTCCCCGTGCAAATCCTGTCCCGTCCCCAAATTTGTTGCCATTTATTTTGCATCTTGTCACTGTTTTCCATTTCAAATTATCTTTGTCATTTTTTCTCTGTAGAAATATTGTTATGATTATTACAAATGCAATTCCGTTGGAGGAGCTAAAAATTGTCTTTATGATTTTATGCCAGCTGGTAGCCATGAAAATTCATGGGCTGGTGGAATTGCTTGGATCAGAAGTCTTCATTGTCAGTCCCTCCACATTCTCATCTCCCTGTCCGTCCTGCCCTTTTGTGGATTTTTCTTTCCTGTGTATCCTTTACTCCTTCACACATTTTCATCATTTTTTTCAAACTCTTTTTATTTGCTTCTTCCTTAACATCCCCTCCCTCCCTGTTGACCAGCCTTAGAGAAGTCTGCATGGAATCTTTAAAAAATTTTAATTCTAGCCCTGACTGGTGTTACTCGGTAGTTAGAGCGTAGGCCCATGCACCAAAGGGTCATGGGTTCAATTCCCAGTCAAGAACACATACCTGGGTTGCAGGTTCAATCCCAGGCCCAGTTGGGGTGTATGCAGGAGGCAACCAATCTCTCTCTCTCTCTTTCTCTCT